CCATGTTTGCAAAACTACAAAAACAGGGGTGGAGGAAGCAAATTATGACTATCAAATTGACTATGAAAAACTGTGAAATTGGCCATCCACAAAAACAGAACCATTACACATGAATGTCACTGGTCATAAAATAATAGCATGAGAATTGTAAGCCAGTAAAGCATACATAACCACTCCTGGACAGTCGTAGCTAACAAAAATACCACACAAATTAATGACACAATACACAATGTCCATATTTAAACTACTAAAAAAGCTTTTTTTTTTTAGTTAAAGGTATAAACTTTAGCCCTTCTGCCTACAAGCATTAACACAGCAGCTAATGGCTGATATTCACTGGCATAAAAATAACAACTAAAGCACAAAATTAACCAAATAAAAAAAAATCCTAACAGACCTCATTCGACAAACATCTAATCCGACACCACTTTTGAGCTCAGAAAGCAGTGAAGTACTGAAAGCATAACATGCCATAAAGCCATATACATACGAACGCACAAAAAATATAAACTTAAAGGACCAGCTTTAAGCTCATCTATTCGGCCCACCTTGCAAGTACACTGAACTTGTTGATTTCGAAAGCAAAATCCCATATACATATCAATACACAAAAAGATATAACTTCAAAGGCCCAGGTTTAAGCTCATTTACTCAGTCCGCCTCGCACCTCGCAAGCACAATAAACTTGGGGATTTCGAAACCAAAATCCCAACAAATATTAACGATGATTTTGTTGCAAAAACGAGAAAATCAGAAGAATAATTAAACCACGTGCCCCGACTTAATCAGCCAGAACAACGCTATACACAAAAGGATCTCAACTTCCAACTGGAAGACCCAAATCGACTGAAGTCCAGTAGAGGAAGAAAAAAGAACAAACCCCATAACATCTAACATCAAAACAATCAATAAACAAGCTGATTCACCTAATTCCAACCATACACACACGCAAACCACACCTACACAAGAGAAACTCGAGAAAAACTGTGTCTTGATCAAGTTACCTGATAAAAACTCAAGATCTGAAGGAGAAGAAGCTGATTGTTAGATCGAGTCGAAGCTCGATTGTTTGCGTCAATGAATTTTTGTCCAAAACTCCTCGGATCTACGCCGCGGAGTTGAGGAGAATGAGTGTAAAAGAGCGATAGATCTG